AAAATAAAATAAAATAAAATAAAATAAAATAAAATAAAATAAAATAAAACAGCAAAATTCACGAAGAAAGGGTGGCTGCCTGGCAAGCATTCCATTAGCATTACATATATTTCTTGTCCAATAAAAAAGACATTCCTTTAAAAAATACTAGTATCAAAATAGAATAACATTTTCAATACCCATTGAACCCTTTTCCGGACGTGCAGTTTAATTTATGCTAACTTTAAAAAAAGTAAAAATGACGTCAGAGGAGACGAACCTGTTACTAAGGACACGAATAAAAAACGTCTGCGCATGCTCTGAATCCGTATGTAAATTAGTCAAAACATATGTAAATTTGACTTTCAAACATGCCTAAGTAATTGGACTTCACCAAATGCCAAAATTTAGTGTCCATGCTTGAAACTTAAGGCTAATTCTTTCATATTGTAAAGTATATTCGCGAACTTTTTTGTATACTTGGAGAAAACAAACATTTATTTTCTCACTCAAAATTCTTAGAAAACGTGCTGAAGTGCACGCATGCGCAAACGTTTTTCTCTAGTGTTGTTACTAAGTCCAGTGAACAATGGAAAGTGAGCAAGAGATTCTGAAAATGGTAGCATATGATAAACTAACGACAAATTTCAGAAACTCTTGCTTTGTCTTTTCCGCTTTTCGTTTCACTTTTTACGAGACACAAATGCTTCAGGCCGGATAGGATAAGGCAGACTTTTCTTTCCAGCTGATTCCATTCCTGAGTTCCGTTCGACACTAAAATGGTTTCCGCTGTCAATAACCATGAAAACGCATGCACAGAGAGCCGAGGCAATGGTTTATCTAACTCTATTAAAATGTCTAAAAAATATCAACAATAAAATAAATGATTCTTCACCTCTGCTATCATTCGCCAGAGGAATTATTTCCCCTCCAGAGACAAAATATAATTTTTTAAATATATTAAGTAAATATTTTATCAGATTACTGTAAGGTTGCCTTTATGTTTCGGAGAAGATCGTGATGACTAAACGAAAACATCGAGCATCGAAAATAACTTTAATTAACTTTACTGATTGACTTGAAACGCTTTCCAAAACAACCCCATGTGGTTGAATGTAGAGAAAATTATAGTTTTTTTGATTACTGAAGTTTTTATCTATGAAAATAGGTTATTTATGCCCAAAAAATTTAATGGAAGAGTCCATTTTTAATAAAGAAATAAGGCATACCGTGGAAGTAAATACGAGTCAACAAATCTCCAAGAGTTTTTTCCTGTTCTAATATTTCCTTCCATGACATTATGTACAAAGACATTATAAAGAACCATACTGAGCATTGTTTTCATAGGAAAATTGAGAAGAGATTCTTTTGTATGGGAGTATTATCCTGAATACACACGCTGATTCTACTGATGAATGAAAATTGGAATTCTTTGTGAGACCATCGACAACATCGAAGATCTACGTTTTTTTTGACCCTTCAAAAAGTTCCAAGACGTACTGCTCCCCCTCCTTTGAGTCTTAGCTGAATCTTTGAGACATAGTTTGCACCTCCTTTACTGTGCGGATACTCCAGGACCACTATGATAAACTAGTATCATTAACCAATCATATTGCAACATTTAGTTCAACATTTTTAACCAGCCAATCAGATAGCGCATCCATATAATAAGAGCGTGAGAATGTAATAATCTGATTGGCTAACGCTGTTATCAGATCAGTCTCTGTCTAGTTTACTGTTTTCTGACTGGCCAGTTTTATTCAAGAGGTCCCAGTTAGTGTGTCCGCACAGTAATCTGCTGGCAAAGTTTCAGTGCGATCGGAGGCTTTAAATGATTCTTTTTAAATTTTCTTTTTCTCTCAAAATTTTAGAGTTCTTTAAGATTTCTATGGAAACTGTTGTCAGTGGAAAAAAAAAAAAAATTAATAATAATAATAACAATAATAATAATAATAATAATAATAATAATTAAATAAATAAATAATACACTTATATATTTATCTTCAACGCAACACAACTAATGATTTGCGAAAAGACTTTCAAAAGTATCATAAAATATTTACCTTAAAATTAAAACGGAAATTAAAACTACGGCAAAAGCCTCATAATTTCAGAAATAATAATATTTTCCCCCAACCCCATATCAATTAACTCTATGGAAACCATATCCACACAAAAGAATTTTCAATCTGCGTAGTAGTTGTTTGGCCTTATCAGTTGTGCGTAATTTATCAATTTATTCTTTTCAATCACCTTATTTCGTCGTTATATATATAAATATATATAAACCAGTCCATTTTTTGTCTTTTCTGTTCGAATTTCTTTGCTTAATATAGTACAATTTAAATTTTTTTTGTTTTCTGATTCATATGTAAATCAAACTCTGACAATTTATACTGAAGTGCCGAGGAGCTTTGTTTTTAAAACCACCCTTGACCAGACGTTGAATTCTCACGAAAAGTTTAAAATACTACCATATTATCATTGAAGTGCAAGCCGCGAAGTTTGACGTCTCGTTAAACTAGCGTTTCAACGACCGTGAGTAAAGAACTAACAAAAAGAATATCTTGAAGGAGATTTTGGGCTGAATTGAAAATTCTAATCCTCGAATCCCCTAAAATATTTAATTCAGTCCAAAATCTTCCTCAGGATATTTATTCCCCCCCCCCCTTCCCCTAATGATTGCAGTTCTTTGATTGACGGTCGTTGAAATGCTAATGGACGAACGAGATATCAAGCAAGCTTCGCGGGTCGCACTCCAACGATAAAGAAAGAGCCGGAAAATGGGAACGTCTCTGTCATCATTTTATCGTTTAACTTTTTCTTTGCGTCGCATGGAAATGAATATAAGACGTTTGACCCTGATGTTTGCCTAACTACGTTAGAACTGATGTCACAAAGATCTAAAGCATACAAGTTTTTTGTACTTGCCTCAGGCTATGGTGATAAACTTTGGCACAGTGAAAAATAAACGCCCGGGAGATAACAAGTTAAAAGAAATTTGATTCATATATTTTTGATAAATAAACGGCTAACGTTGCTTTTCAGTAGCATCGTAGGTAAAAAAATACTCGTGACGACGACAGCTTAGAACCTTACCTCAGTGTACTTATTTTTAAGAGAATTATAACTTGGTTAAATTAAGTGAAATCAAAAATAGATCTTCAAAGCCTGGCATATACAAAATCCAAGCATATATGCAACTGAAATGCAAAAACAACTTTTTGTGCAAGGAATGTGTAATATTAATGACTTACGTTCTGTTTGCGCTATAAACAAGATCCTACAAGCCAAGTTCATCGAATTTTCAAATTATTTTTTTTTTTTGAATATTGAAGATTTGTTTTCATTAATGAATGTTCGAATCGAATAATGAAATCAAGAATCCAAAAATAAAGTCATTAATGACCTCTACGTGCTCACACTTGAAGTGGTTTGATTGTAATTGCAAAATAATGACGACTAAATGTCACTAAACGATCTACATTGAATACTAAATAATAAAATCTTCGTCTAAGAGCTGTTTGACAGCCAATTGTTTGAGAGGATTTAACACCTATACGGAAGCTAGACGTTTACTTTAATGGAAAATTCATTAATATGGTACATGATATACATAGGTTTCTGGAGGCGAAATGCACGATGTGGCAAAATTATCAACAAAGATAATATCAAATCCACTACTGGTCATTTTTTCAACATAGGAGTTTTGTTAGGCCGACCTGGTGACCTGAATAATATCCTTTTGATTGAAGTTCCATGCTAGAGGAAGTTGTTTCCACCATTTTGTATGAGAAATACACCACGCTCAATCTTCACCATGAAACCCGAGGTCTTAGCAAGAATATATTTTTTAATTTTATTAAGTTTTCTTACAGCTGGATCTGCCTCCTGTAAACATCCAATTTTGTATTACTCCAGCGAAGAAGTTGAAGAACTCCAACAAAAAGCGAGAACTTCACATCGGCATATATTCTCTCGCCTCCGCGAAGCAGCAGAGGAAATGAAGGGAAACTCACAAACTTACACTCCGCCTTCTAACTGGACTGACTTCTCTCGCTCGTGGAACGAAATTTATGGGAATAGTTTAATCTCACTCGCGTTTTACTGTGTGTTGAACCCCACCGATTACGAGGCGTTCGGGCTCGCGAGAAACATCATAAAGAGATTCACCGTGTTGAGAAACTGGAGGTGTTCGCTTAACATAGATGATGACGTTCCTGTAGCACACAGCTTGGTTGCCGTAGCAACAGCTTATGATTTCCTTTGGAATCGACTGGATGATAATGAACGTCATTTGATTGTTGATAAAATAAAACATGAATCGCGCGTTATTTACCAAAGATCCTTCGAGAAATGGTGGGGAAAGATTTACATTCAAAATCACATGGCGACAAATTATATGGCCCTTATGACCGCTGCTTTAGTTTTGAAGAGCAAGAATGATCATGAAACGTTTTTGTGGGAGAAAAGAGCTCACCTAATGCTTAACAGAACAATGTTCCTTCTTAGCTTCGTAACGGATGGAACACTCGACGAAGGAGTTTCTTACGGGAGCTATACATCTCGCTCTCTGACCCAGTACATTGCACTCGCCAAAAGACATTTTGATATCGATTTTACGAAGAGCGAATGGCTGAAGAAGCATTTCTGGTTTCTATATCGGACAATTCTGCCCAGTTTTGATGAAGCTCTAGGCATTGCAGACTCGAATGGTAAGTGGTTTTACGGACCAGAGAGTCAGTTGGTATTCTTGGACAAGATGGTGTTGAAAAACGGATTCGGTAATTGGTTGGCAATGGCCATACAACGCATGCGCAAAGATGGAAAAACGCTGTCCCTTGCACGTGCGCATTGTTTTGCCACCTTATACACCGAGTTTTTGTTTTACGACGAGAAAATAGGTGAGAGACCACCACCAGTGTCTAATGTTTCTACTCTTCACATCTTTAAAGATTGGGGTGTTGTCGTCTTTGGGCGTGGTGCGGAAACACCACGTGCAGTTTCCAGACAAAAGTTATCAACTTTTGTGTCATTTAAATGCGGAGTACTCCACGGAGAAGCTATAAACAACATCGTCAACACTAAACCTTGGCCTTGGATTAAAGGATGGAGGCAATTCAACCCAGGGCATGAACATCCAGATCATGGCTCTTTCACTTTCTACCCAAACGGCATCCCGTTTATTACTGAAGCCCTGTATGGTCCAAAGTACACATGGTTGAACAACGCGCTGTTATTTGGCTGTAGTTCTTCACTGAACAATGCTTGCTTTACAGGTCAACTCTCTGAGAACAAAGCGTGGCTCAGGTTTGAGAGTGATACATTTTGGAAAGCTAAGGGAACGATTCTCGCTGCAATTGCTCAACACGAAAACGTTTACATCACTGGAGAATACTCGGGATGGTATAACAAAGAACTTGGCTTAAAAAAAGTTTATCGGACGCTTTTACTTGTACGCTCAGATCTTCTCATCGTTTGTGATTCAATCTTCAAGAAAAACGACAGCTCGTTAGATAAAATGTCAGCTTTCTTCCACAACAGATTTTCGCCTTTTTCCATCAGAGAAAGAAAAAATGGCGAGACGTTTGCTGAAGTAATACAGGGAGGACAAGCTCAAACGGTTTATTGGGCAAGTTCTGCTGGAAAAACCATCGATGTACGTAGTCAACACGCACAGTTCAAAGCAGAGGCCGGGAAAAGGAAAACCAATTTTGTGAACATAACCACACCCATGCTAGGTCATTCAACATATGTGGTTTATACCTTTGCTGGAAATAATTTAAAAGTAAGGCACTTAAGATTATTCGATATTAACGGTACCGTAATGATAAAAATGGACCTCGAAGACTCGACTTTGATCCGAATCACCATACCATCAAGACCAGAAAAGTACAATACTTTACTGGCAACACGATTTGACGATTACGTTGATATTGAAGTTGAATACGAAGTTGAAATATCGGATCGCAGTGTGATTTACTTGGTTGGAAAACTCGTTTTTATTGGCCTATTATTCCTTATGTTATGTTTCTGGTATTCCTTTAGACTAAAAGGCAAGAGAATGATGAGAAAAATTCTCTTAAAAATACTCCATAAAATAGAGGGATGTTTTGTGGCACAGATATTGAATTGACTACTTTTTTTCCATGTACGAACAGGTTTCATTGCCTTATCAGTTATTCTTGTTTACCAGTAATGCTTCAGAAAATGATTGTTAAGAATATTATGTCCAAATTAAAGAAATAATACTCAAGGTAATGACGCGTGCTCTGAAATAAAAAACATTACGCCTATATTAAATCAATAATAACACGCTGTCTGAGATGGGTAAGAATGTGCCCAAAGCAAAGAAATAATACGCAAGAGAATGAAGCGTGCTCTGAAATAAAAAACATTACGCCCAAATTAAATCTATAACACCCTGTCTGAGATGGGTAAGAATGTGCCCAAAGCAAAGAAATAATACGCAAGAGAATGACGCGTGCTCTGAAATAAAGAAACCTTAGGCCCAAATTAAATCTATAATAACATGCTGTCTGAGATGGGTAAGAATGTGCCCAAAGCAAAGAAATAATACGCAAGAGAATGACGCGTGCTCTGAAATAGAGAAACCTTAGGCCCAAGTTAGATGATGGTGATACATGATGTTGCTGTTGATGATGATGATATATGATTATGATGATTATGGATGATGATGATGATGATACATGATGATGATGATGGTAATGATACATGATGATGATGATGATAATGATGGTGATGCATAATGATGATGATGTTGATGATCATGATGACAATGAAACTTTAAAGCACCTCATTTTCCCACGAGGCTGAAAAATTGGGATTATTTTGTATTTTCCTGTTCGACTCATTTTGAAATTAATTAATTTAGATTAGAGCAGACAGCTTGTCTACGGTCCTTTGAATTCAACTAAATGAATAGTGATCCTCGAAATTTAAAAGCACGCAAGCCCCCTATTTACACAAATGATTGCTTTATTGGACATGTTCTCACGTCTCACCTCTGGGGTCTCAGAATCATTTCTTCAGTAGACTCACACGTGCGTAGAGTTATACGTTTGTTAGGTCTCTCTCTTGAATTCGAAGTTTTTTCTAAATTCTCTGGTTTTCTTATTCCCTAAAAACTAACATGGTGAATGAGTTTACATCGTGGCCCAACCTTGTCCCCTGATAGTATACAGTCAATTCAAAAAACGTTGTCGTCGACCGGCTCAAGCCTACGCGACTGGACCGAAAGGAATATGGGTAAAAATCACTGAAGCGGTTAAATATTCGTTCTGAATTAATTGTTCCCGCTAGTAATAAGATAATAATGGCGAGAAACAATCCATCAAATGCATGTCTTTGGGTTTAGGGAAAGAAAAACAAAGCAGTTRTGATTCAGTTCACAATTTTGAAAATATGAAGGCATTAAAAAAAGTCTCCTTCAACACTTCCCGCTCGCCTACGAAGGTTCGTGCTGTAAACMAGGCATAACTAGTCRRATAAAATTATGRAGTCAACTCGGCTTCAATGATTGCTACCCAGAGTTCCTTTCGGTCCAGTCGCGTAGGCTTGAGTTGGTCGACGACAACGTTTTTTGAATTGACTGTATATAAGATACACTAGGAGTAATGACCTTACACTCGATATACCCGTATCGAAATAATAATAATTCAATACTTATATTGCGCGTATTACATAGGGAGATGCTCACACCCGAATTACAAACTGATTGAAATAATTTACCTCCTAGAAATATAAATTATGATCTAAACATACCATGTGCACCTGTTGCATCAACCCCAAACCAGCGCAACCCGGTGGGCAAGCAACGAACTGGCCATAAGGTAGTGTCTATTGCTCTGCCAACCGAATCACGCCCAGCAGGAGTTGTTGTAAGGAAATCGCAATAACAGATATAAATATACACAGTTGTCTTGAGAGTCTCGTTCCTTCTTATTTCTTATGAAACGGTAGTTCTTACATCTGAGGCCGTTTCCCAAACTTTTATTCTTACTATTTAGTTAGAGTTATGTAAAAATACCATATCTATGGAGGCTCGACCAAAATCGCAACAAGTTTTGAATCGCGATTCTCTTATCGCGAGGTAACTCGGAGCTGACAATGAGGGTTTATAGATTTGCGGTTCTCTCCCGATCAAAAAATTAATTTTTGGTATGTTTTTTGTTGTCCGTGTAAAATAAAACTTAGCCCTAGGGCAAACGTCGAACTTTCCATGCACCGAACTCAATAAAAACTATGGATATCAGGTGATAATGAGTCGGCATTCTCTGATGTAATTAAGTTCGGTGCATGGAAAGTTCGACGTTTGCCCTAGGCCCTAGAAAACAATGAAAATAAGATACAAAAATTTCTATCAGTCTACTAACTAATTCCGCAAGGGACATAAAGTAATTTCACTCTATTAGATAATTTTTTTTTCGATATTGTCGAGAGCAGTAATACGCGTCCGTTGGATTATGCCGTTGTTTTGAGGGAAGCTTCATCAATCTTTTAACATTCTATCAGCTCAATAAATGAAATAATTTTGAAAATTAACAAGAGAATTAAGGATTCCTAACCTTTTCTTTCGCACTTCAATATCAGCAAGCGAAAAAGACGCCATATTAGACTAAAGGGTACTCTAAAACATCCCCATCATGCAACGCGTTCTGGAACTCCGGAACGGTTAACAAAGTGCGATATTACCGTCGTTCTTTGCTCAGTAATTGATTGGGAAGCGTCCTTAATGGACTTTGGCATAACTAATATACCTAGAACAAGAACATTCTCTCAAAGCTCATCCGTTCCACAAGTTTTAACACCGTTTCGCGCGTATATTCCTAGGCAGGTGACGGGGTTATATGACTAGCTTCCAAGCATTCGTTCATAAAATATTGACCAAAAATGAACCGTACTGAACTCGTACCACCAGTAATGAGAGTCTCTCATAAGATCAAACAATAAAATATTCCACGAGTGTTTCCTGCGTGCTCTCTTATATCAAAAAGTATGTTGGCTTTCAGGGAGAAATAGAGTGTCTGGGAAGATGCTAATGTGATCCTACTTCAAAACGGCCATTGGTTTGAATTTTTATTTCATTTTTAATAAAGTATCCTGGACTATTAGGAGCCTTCAAATTTAAAATCCTTCAAATGTATCGATACTTTAAAACAATATCGGGGCTAAATAAAGTCAGGGCATGGCTATCTCACAAATTGATTTGAATTAAATGCTAACTTAGATAACGAGCGAGATGATTAGGAGTAAATTCCAGAAAATATTCTACTGTAAGACAATTCTTTAAGAAAATAAAGTAAAATTTGCTTTACAGCGTAAAAACAGTATTGCTTACTTGTTCTGGTCTCATTAAAGCCAAAAAATGTGAAACCTATATTCCCATCGCAACGCTTCTGCAATGAGAGTTTCCGATTTTCAATTATTTCAGGCATTTTAAACATTTCAAAAAATAGTGTTTTCGAATAAAAATATTTTTTGGAATTAGTGACAGCATTGTATTACCATCTCATCTCAAGTACCGTCTACATATTTGAAACTAATTTCTTCATTTTCTAGATATCTTTATCAATTCTAAGTGTAAAAAGAAGACCTGCGAATATAGAAGAAAATATGGCGGTAACAAAATACTACTAACCCCACGCAAACCCCAGATATCTAAAATTACTCTAAATCATTTTAAAATCCTAATTTCTAAACAATATCTCTCTTAAGTCAGGTGATATTTTTTTGGTGGGGCTTATTTTAAGGTTATGTAAAACAGCTCCAGCAGCGTATTCTGGGAATAACTAAAGCACGCATGCGCAAAGGTACTGAAGTAGTTTCTGTCACGAGCAGTATTCAGGGAATAACTAAAGCACACATGCGCAAAGGTACTGAAGTAGTTTCTGTCGTTAGATAAAATTATCGAAAAGTGGATTTGAAATGGGGAAAAATGATTACTCATAAGGAAAGACGTTTAAGCTGGGTCGCGATTGACTGGAACACAGCCAATTTGATGTGTTTTAGTTAGCTTGACATGTGGAATAATGTGACTAAGTGATAAAGTGATAAAATAAACCCGCTCTAAGAAATGTCGTTTTCGAAAAATTTTGTAAGAAAAAAAGAAATAATATATTTAGAAAGCCAGCTTTGTGACACTTTCTACTTGTTGTTACTCAGTTTTGTTTCATTATAACTGAAAAACGTTTTCACTTATTATTCTCTCTTATTCATTCGATTTCATATTATCTACTACGGTGAATGAAGGCAGTAAATCTCTTCCTATATTCCAGTATTATTGCAGTCATTTGTATAATATGGCCCAAAACACTCCCTAAACCAGCCACCAAAACCATTCTATTTTGTTGGGCTGGGTGACTATAGAATCACTTTCAATTTCTTTTCACCTAATTGATTACAAAAGCATTAATTGAACGGTTCATTATTACGCTTCCTATTCGATTATTCACTCGTGAATCCTTCACCGGTAATGGGAACAAATGGTCCACTTTCTCCGACGACACAATAATTTTCCACTCTTTTGCGCACGGTTTACTTATGTATATAATATAGTCCATCGATAGAAGCCAAAATCAAGACGATTTAAGTCATTGATTATCGGATTGAGTTTTAGTCGGCTGGGCTGGGGCAGGTCATTAACTAGGGAACGCGAAACGGAAATCTCTTCAAAAGTACTTTAGCCAAGATGATCTAACTCGTTCCGTAAATGCATCGTTGCGAGTTAGTAATGTCCGTTGATAGGACTACCAGAGCGGAAAGAGAGGGCGTCTACTAATATCCATCAATCAGTCTGGAAGAACAGCTGCGAGTGATTCGCAAGAGTTATTTAAACAGTCTTGAGCGCTCTTTGGTGCATGAGCTACTGATTCTTTTTCAAGCGTTTTATGAAGGACATTTTCGACCTTAAAAAGATGAGTATCCCCAAAGTGGCACAGCTATTGGTGAGTAGCGCTATTCTAAAGACAAACACTACAAAAGAGTGACTCTATGAATTACTTTATGCGTCCCTTATTCGTATGAAAAGCAAACGCTATAATTGGTCCGCTTTTTAAAATGTCTTTCTTTGTCCACGAGCGCCCATTAAAGCCGGGGATCAATTTTGTCAAGTTTACTTTTAAGTTCAAAGATATCAAAATGAGCAAACAATCTTCGTAGCTTAAATGGGATGAAACTTAAGTTTACCCTTCATTTGAAAGCTTGGTAAACGAGAAGAGGTGAAAGAAATGAGGATTTTCTCTCTTTATTAATAGGCCGGAAGGATATCGTTTTGAAGTTAAATAATTAGTCGACAAAAATGAATTTTCCGTACGTGCCTCTTGGTAACTAACACTTCATGCTTTCAAAATGTATTTCTAAGATTACTTATGATTTTTAAATTTACTCTGAATGAAATAATAAAGTATTGTACAGATAAAAGCAGGCATAGTATAAATTTCGATTAAGAAACCTTTCAATTTGGGACAGTTTTTTGATTGGTTACCCCCCAAAAACGCTAGGCATTATGGGGATGTGAAAGTCGAGAATAGAGATTGTTTCAGGTTTCGATCTCTGAATTAGGCCATGCCCTGGCTTAGATCAGCCGAGAGGTTGTCTTGAGGGTTCGATCTGTGAGTTAGCCGTACCCTGACTTAGATCAGCCCAGAGGTTGTTTCAGGGTTCGATCTGTGAGTTAGCCATGCCCTGACTTAGATCAGCCCAGAGGTTGTCTTGAGGGTTTGATCTGTGAGTTAGCCGTACCCTGACTTAGATCAGCCCAGAGGTTGTTTCGAGGTATCGATTAGATTTGAAAGTTTCTTTTTACCCTGATTATTGACGCAGAGTCCGAAAGATTGTTTTTTTTTCTTGTAGTTGATATATAACCGAAGATTACACGAATATTGTATTTATATGGCGCCTACGTAACCGTAGACAAGTTTTAGAATTAGAATGTCTTACGCTGTCTCCTATACATTACAGGAAAAACACGAGTCGAGAGTAACACTCTTTAACAAAGTGTTCTTAACACATAAGTGGGAGGAACCTTTTACTTTAATCTCGAGTATGCTCTGAGGTTTTGAGGTTTTGCACCATCACGTGACGGCAGCCATGTTAGATGGCAGGAACAATGCAATCGTTTTACATAAGAAAGAATTCAATTCCCAAGAGCAAAGGATTTTATTGCTCTGGCGTCCAACCACAGGCAACTCAAGCTATATTATGGCCGCTGTATCATTTTTTTAAATACGCGAAGTCGTACGTCCCGTAGTCTCCCCCACAATCTAAGTCTTTGCGCTAAGAATGGTTGCGGGGGAGACTAACGTCCAGCGACACGTCCAGCCTAATTTTGCATGACTAAGTAATGTTTACAACATGAGCGGCAGTGTTGTATCGGCTATTGCATGTAATAGCGCAGCGCGCTGATTCTAAAAAAATAGCTTAAAGATTCGGACAAACATTGCATTCTGTTTAACCGCTACGAGGATTATACGAACCGATTTTATTATTTTTACTTAAAGTTACAATAATAACCCATGTAAACTAAGATCAACTGCGATCGGCTGTGAAAATTATCTGCTGAAAGTAAACTTGTAAGTTTGTTTKTCCGAATTTCGCCTTTGTCTTCGTTTTTATGACGTCACGACTGCGCTGCGCTATTCATTGCTCCTTTGGTTTCGAAGTCCTGTGATCTTGACTCAGGACCTGCTAATGTTCTTAAAAAGTGTTTTGAGACTCTTCTTCCTGTTCTTACTAAGATTGTTAATCTTTCATTAACAACTGGTACTATGCCACCTGAACTGAAGGTTGCAGTCATAAGACCTATTCTCAAGAAACAGACACTGTCTCCAGAGGAGTTTAATAGCTCTCGACCGATTTCAAACTTAAAGTTTCTTTCCAAAGTCATCGAAAAGGTAGCTGCCTCTCAATTGGTCGAATATCTTGAACATAATGCCCTTAACGAAACATTTCAATCAGCCTATAAGAAATTTCATAGCGTTAAAACAGCTCTTCTCAGAGTTCACAATAATATTTTGGAAAGCATTGACAGTCAAGGCGCTGTTATCCTTTTCTTGCTTGACCTATCAGCGGCTTTCGATACTGTTGACCATGGTCTGTTGCTAAAAAGGCTTAACATTAGGTACGGCATTAATGGCTTAGCTCTTCAATGGTTTAAATCTTATCTATCTGAAAGATCTTTTCGTGTCAAAGTACAGAGTAGCTAATCTGCATCTCGTACTTTTTCATGTGGTGTTCCTCAGGTTCAGTTCTTGGACCCATTCTTTTTCTCTTGTATACATCACCTCTTGGTGATATAGTACGGAAGTATAACATTGATTTTCATTTATATGCTGATGATACACAGTTTATATATTTTACTTTTCCTGCATCCTCTTTCCCAGAACTTTCAATTGCGAAGACTAAAATAGAAGCTTGCGCAGCCGACATTAACAGATGGATGGCTGCCAATAAGTTAAAATTTAATGGCGATAAAACTGAAATTTTGATCTTATCAAATTTTCATCGTCCTCGACCACCTATTGTTTCTCTTAATATAGCTGAGTCAGATATCTTCCCATCTCAATCTGCAAGGAATATTGGAGTAACTTTTGACGAGAAAATCACATTTGATGAACATATAACTGCTGTGTGCAAATCTCGTTTTTTCTTTATTCATAATTTTTGGACAATTCGTAGGTACCTAAGTATAAGTGCATGTGAGACTCTTGTCCATGCCTTCATTACATCTAAACTTGACTTTTGTAACTCTCTTTTATATGGGCTTCCAAAATCCTCTCTCCAGAAGCTTCAGATTGTTCAAAATACAACGGCGAGGCGTGTAGCTTTGATACATAAGCAACACCATATTACTCTACTCCTATATTGTGTGACTTACACTGGTTGCCAGTGGAACAGCGAATTATTTTCAAAATCGTCTTACTTACCTTTAAAGCCCTGAACAAAATAGCTCCCTCCTACTTAAGTTATCTTGTCAAACCTTATGTTCCCGCTCGAGTTCTTACGTCTTCCTCTTCAAATTTATTAGCCACGAAGTCTTACAAACTGAAAACATATGGTAGGAGATCCTTTTCTTGTGTTGTCCCTGAATTGTGGAATTCTGTTCTTATATCTCAATTTTTAAAAGGGAAGTAAAAACCTGGCTTTTTAAACAAGCTTTTCTTAATTAATTGAAATCATAAAAAGTTTATATATAAAGGTTCAAACGCTAGGACGAGGTTTGAATGACAAAGTTGTATAAATAGTAGTTAACACTTTGTAAAGCAAAAGAAAACAACAGAGGTATTGTCTTCTTTTGATTCTGTATTATGCTTACTATTGTTAACAGTGTTGCTGTTTATTATTCCGAAGGCATTTCTCTTGATCTTGCAACAAGCGATAATCATCTACTCTTTTTCGCTAAACTTTCCGCCCATTCGTGATTATGTAACATTGGACAGTAACGATATCGGAGCAACGAAGACAGAATTTGTTCGAAAAAGACCAACAGACAGTGAATATGAGGATTCGTTATGGATAGGAGACGACAAAGACAAGAGAACAAGTCACAGGGTAATGAAAGAGGATAAAGGGAAATGAGGAAGAAAGAAATAAATGGATGAAGGGTGGAAGGGAGGAATGGAGGAATGGAGATTGAAAAAAAAAGGATTGACTCGACAGACAGACAAAGACAAATACAGACAGACACAGACAGACTGAAGGAAGGATAGTGGGACGAAAAAGGAAACAGAGCAAGTTACTGGGCAATAAAAGAAAATGAAGGAGAAATGAGAAAGAAAGAAATGCTAGATGGAATAAAGAATGGAAAGAAGGAAGGAAGAGAAAGGAAGAGCTGTCGAGGCAAAGAAATAGTTTGCGTAATAGATGCATGTGCCATAGGAGGGTGTAGGATACTTGTGTAACCGATCATTCCTCGTCTATTCCATGTCACACGCTACCTTCATTATTTATGCCTCTTTTTTCTCTCTCTAGACTGCAAGAATTTACAAAAACAAATTTAACAAATGTCTGATAATCAACAATACTGGAAAAGTTGAAGCTTCCACGGGACACATTTGCAACACTTATGGTACATTTATGAGAAGTTATGCACGTTTATACTAGTATTGTGAGGGAAGTGGTGGGTTTAACCACCAGCCGGACCATCACTCATGGTAACGACTTGGTCCCGCTTAGAATTGTGGGAATGAATTAATGACAGTCGCACGATAATGAAGTATGCGAGGCAAACCAAAAGTACGTGCGAAAAGGATCCTGGTAGTTGTAGTAGTAGCACAAGACGTAATAAGAGAACGGGAATTTGGGGACGTGAGATGACGGAGCTTTTCCATCTCGTCCCCCTATTCAATCCCACAATCCTATGCACCACATGGTCGTTACTATCCTTCTTTTACTGTGCGGACTACTTGAACAAAAGTTAAGATAATAAACGTTAGCCAATCAGGAGAGAGCAAAATCAGTATCATATTGACCTTAGCCAATCAGAATCACTTATTCCCATGGTTGTTGATAACAAATGTTTTCTCAAATAGTTCCCAGTTACTGTGTTCGCACTGAAACTATGAAAAAGTCGAATCTACTTCTTTTTTTCCGCAGGAAGATTTTGCCACATAAGCAATGGTAGCACATTTCAACTCCTTGGGATACGAACTGGGAGATATCTGGCTATCGATGACAACGCAAACATCTACTCCACAACGGTAAGAGCAAGAATAGTATAATTCGGGAAAGTATGGTATTGACTTACAATATGTAAAGTGCAAGACTCTGAAATGGTTTTCCATTGTTTTCGTGCGCTCTATCAAATAACAACACTAGCAACTACGATCGTCAGTGAACGGCTAACTCACAGATAGAACCCTGGAACAATCTCTGGGCTGATCAAAGTCAGGGCACGGCTAGCTCACAGAACAAACCCTAAAACAATCTCTGGCCTGATCTAAGTCAGGGCACGGCTAACTCACAGATAGAACCCTGAAACAACCTCTGGGCTGATCAAAATCAGAGCATGGCTACTTATCTTTCGGGAGCAGGAAAACCGAAGACCCCAGAAAAAAGCCCTTGAATCAAGAGAGAGACCTAACAAACTCTACTGACTTAGCTACACTTAAAATAGTAACATTAAAACTAACGTATATCCTATCTATTCAATGCTCAGAATCGCCTTTCCAAGAACACCGAGCTTAGTTATGAGCTGGGCAATATCTTGACCTACACACTTGGCATATACAGAAAGAAAAACAACAAAAAATGCTACTTGGAAGTCCTTTCTAATGCTGTGACACAGACTTGTTCTCTCAAGCCTAGATATCTCGAACCCATCAATGCTGGAACTTGTTAAAGTATATTTGTTTAGCAGAAGAAAAAAAAAGATTAGTATTATTAACTGCAAAAGAAAATGTTACTTCGAAATGACTGTGCTCTTATTAGGATTAAAATGTTCTAATTAACGATTATTGCACGTGTCTTGTTGTACAGTACGTAAAGGCAGGGCAAGGATGGTCCAGAAAAAAAGAGTGTGTGTTGTAGGGGTCGGGGGTTGCTAGACTAGCATTGTTGTAATAACGGCTATAGTTTAATTAAAGTGTGAGGTGAGATGAGAAACAATACGTTTAAGATGGGAGGTTTTGTGATGAATTTGTGGCTGGGATTTTATTGAATGAGGTGTCAGTATAGTAAGGAAAATGGAAAGAAATCAAGAAAAAAGAAAGAAAGAAAGATGAATAAAGAAAAAGGAAGGGGAAAGAAAAAGGAAAGAAGAACAAAAGGAAAAAAGGAAGTGAAAAAAGCCTCCAGTAAAGTTTAACCTACAATTAGATACAGCTGAGAGCCACTCTCTGTAATAAGGGAAGGAAGTAAGGAAGGGCTTTTATATTAATATTCATTTTTCACATTATTCATCGCACCATACTGCGAAGGAAAAGTCGAAGGAAAATTATAACAAAAAAAAAAAAAAAAAAAAAAAAAAAAAA